GGTCTCCTATGCCCTCCAGCCTCACAGACCGATAGCCTGGGACACTGTACAGAGCGCCCGCCACCTTTCGGACCCGATTAGTTTTTTGTATTTTTAAGTTAGAGGATGGAGATCTTCACCGTTGTATAACCAGTATGGTACTGGATCTACCTGACCCGTTGAAGCCCACACCATCTCAGGCCTTCCCAAAGGTTGCTCATGTTAGTGACTTTTAAAACTAGATATGGTATTATGTAGACATGTATTACTGCTTATGGTGGGTCTCTGACATCTCAGTCCCCTTAGGTTTGTTCTAGCTGGTTTGTTCTGATTATCATCATTCTAAATCCTATAAAATCAAACAAACAAACAACTCTGCAAGCTCCGCCTGCCGGGTTCACGCCATTCTCCTGCCTCAGCCTCCCGAGTAGCTGCGACTACAGGCGCCCGCCACCGCGCCCGGCTAGTTTTTTGTATTCTTTTTAGTAGAGACGGGGTTTCACCATGTTAGCCAGGGTGGTCTCGATATCCTGACCTCGTGATCCGCCCGTCTCAGCCTCCTAAAGTACTGGGATTACAGGCTTGATCCACCGCACCCGGCGCTAATCTGAAAATTTAAAATGGAGAATATATACCACAGGCCCAGATTTCCTTACAGAAATATGATAAAAATGGGTATTAAAATGACGTTTGTAGGTTGGACATGCTAGTGGCAGGTTTCCCGTGATATCTCACTTGGAACTAAGATCTGCATGCATTACTCACTGTGATGTTTTGTTTGTTTATTTTTTTTCTTTTTTTCTTTGAGACAGAGTCTCTGTCGCCCAGGCTGGAGTGCAGTGGCTGGATCTCGGCTCACTGCAAGCTCCGCCTCCCGGGTTCACGCCATTCTCCTGCCTCAGCCTACCGAATAGCTGGGACTACAGGCGCCCGCCACCTCGCCTGGCTAGTTTTTTGTATTTTTTTAGTGGAGACGGGGTTTCACCATGTTAGCCAGGATGGTCTCGATCTCCTGACCTTGTGATCCGCCCATCTCGACCTCCCAAAGTGCTGGGATTACAGGCTTGAGCCACCGCGCCAGGCCTTGTTTATTTGTTTCTTATTCTCTGCTCTGTGGTATAAAGAAAGATATTGGTGAAAATGTCAGAAAGACCTGCAGATATTCCTATGAGTAATCATATTTGCTTATCTATACCGCAGAAAACCTGTTGGAGAAGCTAGTCGGCCATGTGTGAAATGTCTTATGGAAAAGGACAGTGTTGGAATGGCCACCATATATGACCTGAAGATAGAGAACCATAAAGTGTTGAAATTCTATGTTAAAAGTGATGAATAGAAGTTAACGAAAATTAGAAAAATGTACTTCAATCATGTATTGAAAAAGCGGATCTATCATTATTGTGAAATATGCTACTTAATAATATGCTGATTATGACACAAAGACTTATAATGAACTAAAAATTGAAGGAAACTGTGATTATTTAATAACTGCAGAAATTTAAGAAAAGAAACAAAATTAAATTTTTAAAGATTTGCATAATAAAGCATGTGCTGATGAAGCAGTAAAGAAATATATTGACAAATTTGTCAAGGCCTATGTTAAGAAAAATCTGATGCCAGAGCATGTCTGTAAGGCTAAAGAAAAGTCAGTGTTTTGGTATTATTGCCCCAGAAAGACACTGAC